TCCTTTCCATAAAACCATCCAATAGAAAGGTCTTGACAGTGTAGCAAAAAGGAGGGGCACATGTCTTTTATAATGTTTTAATAACCTATAAATAACCCTTGCAAAGCAGCTTCAGTTTGTGGGGATGTAGGGAAACAAGATGGAGGAGGGTCTGGCCACAGCTCTTTTATTCTCCAACAAACCCTGGATTATTCTGCAGTCAAATCCTTGGCACCAGGCGAGCAGATCTTTTTTTTTTTTTACACAGGGTGGATCTCCTCTGCAGTCCCAGGTAATCCAGTCCTCTGTAGCCATGGGTGTGGTAGTCTAAGGATGGGCGAAGGAAAGGTGGCGGTGGTGGGGAGGGGTGACAGGTGCTCTCTGTTAGGTCCTGGGATTAATCTGCAACACATGGGAGGAGGAGGAAGAGGAGGAGAAAAGAAAACATATATATGCTTAGAAGGAACAAAAACGCGCATGTTTGCGAGGATTACACCCCAGGAGAGTGTTTTGTTAGGCACAAAGAGACTGTTTGAACTGTGGAGGTGCTTTTTTTATGGCTTATTCTAAAACCAGACAGTTTACATGTGCAGCAACAGCAATGGGAATGTGTTTGTAGAGCAGACTGTACATATGAGAGGACTGGGTGGAGTGGACCATACTGTTCTGCCAAATTCCAGCCAATTGAAGTCAATCAAAGCAGTTATAGCAGCTAATTTGGAGCCAAGTTCCAGTTTTGGAATTAGTGTGCGTTTCATGGCAACCAAAGAGCTAATCAGGAACAAGATTATTGAATCAGTCAATCAATCATTCAAACTTTATTTATAAAGCGCTTTTCATACAAAAAAAAAAAAAAAAAAAAAAAAAAAAAAAGTAACACAAAGTGCTTTACAGTGGTTAAAAACAATCCCACATTTCCTTCCAACCACCCTTCCATTCACTCACCCATCCAGCCCCTACAGCTGCCCACCCAAACAACCCAGACAGTCACACACACACACACACACACACACACACACACACACACACACACACACACACACACACACACACACACACACACACACATATATATATATGCATACACATGCACACACACTCACACACATACTAACATGCTAAAATACATACAAATGTAAGGCTGAATGCAGGCGAACCAGTAAAGAAAGTCATTGAAGGTAGTCGCCCCCTCCCTCCACACCTTTGGTTTGACACTGGGAGCCGACCTTAGTGAAAGAAGTCTCCTGATTATTCCAGTATTATTCAGAGTGAGTTAAAAGGAACATTTTAAGGCCAGAATGACAAGCCTCACAGCAGTAGTCTCTGCTACTTAATTTTCTATAGAAAATTAATGTTCTATTTAATATACATTTTCAATAGAACATGAATTTGATGGAGCCAATTCACCCATGCCTACTGTGAAACATGGCAGCTAGCATGTTAGTGCAAAGCCCTGCAGTTGTGTTTTCATGTTGTGTTTACTTTTTTTTTTTTTTTTCATTTTGTCATATAACGTCTGTGTGCACCTTTTAGCCCATACAGCCAATCACAGGTAGAGCAGTGATTGCAGCATTAGTGTATTTGTGGAGAATGAACGCTCTCTTTGCGACTCTGGTTCAGGGACTCTTATTCAGCCCTAGCTGCAGCCTGGACACATTTCAATAGAACATTGTGCAACCTTGAGACAGCTATTGAATGTCCTGCTTTCAGCATCCTGTAGCTCAATAAAACCTGAGTACATCATGTCTACTGCAGTTAAACTAATCCACCCTCTTTGCCCTCTGACAGTTGTGAATGCAGCAAATACAGCTAAGCATTTGTTCCTCACTTTCTGTTTCATTAAATAACTGTAGAACTTTGTTCGAAAAGCCAGTGCCTGTCCTCACGATGAAGACAATTATAAATGGCATAATCCAGTTGAGCTGACAAATCCAGAGGTGACATTTACCGAGAGTATGGCAGGTGGGAGCCAGCTGTGTGGAGATGATTGTGAGGGGAGGGACAGCGACTGCAGCTATACACCAAACTAATTGAATATATCAGTAATTTTAGTATTAGCAGAGTCTTACTTGCTGTCCTCTTGATTTTAGGTATAAACTACATTATTGGTTGTTTAAAGGTGCATTATGTAACTTTTTCTGGTGAGGGATCTGCTAGATGCTTCTATGGAGATGTAATTGTGTTGCCTTTAATGTTCCGCAATACAGCAATAAACATAAATCTAAATGTATTCAATTACAGGTGTTTTCAATGGTCAAATAAATAAAATAACAAAAGTTTTCTTGTTGTGAGCACGATCATTTCTTCTCAGATCCCTGATGGTGTCGTTTGCTTTTTTTTTCTACATGAAGTCTGATCAGTTTAATACCATGTGTGGAACATTCTAGACAATACAATGAACATAAAATCAGTTATTTGTCAAAATATTTGGTCTTGGTCTTTTTAAATAAAAGTTCAAAAGTACCCCATCACAACTTAAAGGACACTTATAAAGCTAGTTTATGTTATAAAGTTGCTTCCTCATCAAAAACATACCTGAAGATGTTTTTTTGATTCATTCTCACATGTTTAACACACAAATCCTCCATATTTAGTTCTTCTCTCACACAGAAAACACTCTGTCCCAACTTGTGATGTCATGTGGAAACACAGGATGTGCTCCACTGTGTTTCCATATATACACCTTCATTAGAAATATTTGGATAATTTCACCTCTGGAATTGCTGATTTCTACTGAACAAAAGGTAGCTGTTCAGTTGAAAACAGAGCATTTTGAGCTTTGGAGGTGAAGACAGACTAATAATAAATGGTTACTCAAAGATGTATAAATGGCACAAAACACAACTCAAGGGATGTTTTCAAGGAGGTAACAACATAATAACATGACTTAAAGCTCAAAAGAGTCAGTTTTGTGCAACCTTTATGTAACATATTCCGACTGTTGTCTATAGAAGGTCAGTTAGTTCCAGGATGATACACAATACTTAATCTAAGACTTCATCATTTACAATAGGGATGGTAATATTTGTTACTTTTAAAAACACATCCAGTTGTGTTTCCCCTAGTATCACTGCTGTCCCCCTGATTGTGTTTTTCTTATATTTGCATGTATCATCAGTGACAACATTCACAATGTAGAAGAAGAGAATGACCTTTGCAGAATGAGAACATGGAACTGCGTCCAGGACACGATTTACCCGGAGGTTTGTTAGTCGGAATGAGGGACTTGTATGCAAATATATGAGACTAAATTGACTTGTGTTTTTTTAGTCCATCCAAATGAGCAGTGCAGCAGGTAGAGACCGATTTTCTGAAGGATTCCCCGCCTCTTTCCCATTCCTGCTGCCAACTAAAGAGCCGGCATTCTAATTTGCAGGCTGCATTAAATCGCAATTTACTCCGACTTCGCTTAGTAAAAGAAGCCAAGGACAATTGCTTTAGCAGGAAGATATAGAGCAAACACAAGCTCCCCTTATTCCCCTTTCTCGTGTGTTTGAGCTCAACTAATCAATCATGGCTGTGTCAGGCGCTCCTCAGAACAGCACTTAAGAGCCCCACAATAAAGAATGCCACACACCCGTGTACATCCAAAAATATTTAATTGACATTGGAGGATAGCAAAGAACATATGATTCATTTGGTGACACTTGCAGTTGACTGTGTGTAATGGATCTTATTTCAAAAATGTTATTCATACTTTGTGGTATTCCAAAATAATAAAAGGCCTTTTTGGTTCTATACACCAATTCCAAATGTACAAGCCTCATAGAAGCAGCACATCTCAAAAGTCTGAACAGGACAAACAATATATACTGTATATATTTTTTCTTCAATTTGTATTCACTCTTGGCTCAGTGCCTTCACTGGCTGGCTTACACTCAAGCGTTCAGCTGCCTGCTGGCGTCTTGAATCAGATCTGAACCTTTCCAGCCTCTGTGTTGTGTGTTTCCGGTGAATTGTGGGGATCCAATTACTTTTCAAAATAATGATACTGTCTATTATACTGCTTGTCAAAGCTTCCCTAAGCACTACTCTGCAATCATTACTCCTTCATTCCACAGGTGATGGTGACAAGTTACTATTGTTGCCACAGCTGCACTGGGGCAGACTGATGGAAACCACCACAAATCACTCACATGTCACATTCCTGCTAGGCAAGGTGGATGAAGGGTCTTTACTTGAACATTACAGTCATATTTGGAGATGTTCGTTGTAAGCTAAATTACATATGAAATCCATAAAGTCTTCATCCACCAATTACAGTGTCTGCAACCCTTTGACATAATGTAACGTTTTTGAAGTGGACGTCTATAGCTTGTTCACATTAAAGCATAACTTTCTGATTGGTAGTGAGGAGCATTGTAGAGATGTGCAGCAGCGTTTATTTGATGCTTGAGTATAAACCAGCCTTTGTGGTTAAAAAATGTTGACACTACATTCAACTTTAAACTGGCATTTATGGCATTCAATCATCACAGTCATTTTTTTCTGTCTACATTTGTGTCCTTGTCCATTGTCAAATAAAAGATAAAAATAAGAACATGCATCTTTTGTACAATACTGACAGAGCACTGGACAAGCCCATAAGCACGTGCAGAGCCTGAAGCACAGTGGGCCTCCTTTAGATGAATTAGTGGATGGTAAGTGTAATGCAGGTCACTTTTGCTCTGAAATACTCTTGCTACTTCCTGTCACTGTGGGCTATTACTCTGAATCATGGCTCCCACTTCCTGTGAATAACTGAGGTGCAGCTCTCTGGACAGCTGTAAGTCATATCTGACTAGTTCAAGAAAATGTACCTTGTGACTGTTCCCTTCAATAACCTAAAATCCCATGTGTATATTTTCATGACTCCTTTTCATTGTTGCAGTATTGCTTGTGTTGAAAGAAACTAAACCACAAAAAAAAAAAAAAAAAAAAAAAGAAATTAAAACAAACAAACAAACAAAAAAAACCATTGTGTACTACAGTCATTTTGCACACTGATCTACAGAAACAGGAGTTGCTAATGCACTATGATGGGCTTTTGGAAGGTGCTCCCCAGCCTCGCTCTCACTGGGACCTCCACAAACATAAGGGCCTGACTTGTCTGCTGCTACAGAACAGCCAATGAAGGACTCCCTCTCTGAAAGACATAAGAAAGAAAAAAACAGAAAGAACTGCGTCAGGCTTCTGTTTCTTACTACACATGCCAAGTAAAATAAGATCAGTTCAAACTGGCATGTAATGTGCTTCCTGCTTAAAGGTGGGTAGAGCAGTAAAAAATGTACTCAGATAAGAGTACTTTTACTTTAATGGGAAGACAAGCGAGAGCAAAATATACTATAATAATGCTCAAATTCTGATATTTCCAAGTAGAACAGTATAGGAACTAACTTAAAAAAATAATATCTGAAGATGAAATGCAAATGTACTAATAATTTCATATGGTGATGTCAGTGTAATCCCTCAGTCGTCCAGGTAGGATCAAAGCAAAAGTAAATAGAGCTCAACAGTAACCAAAAACATCCTGGTACTGCAAGTAAATTTCTCATTCATTTTTCACACAGAAATAAAAACAAGTTTGCAAGCGTGCTCTGGGCTAATCAGCTATGTGGTAAAAATCACCTGAAGATGTATAAATGTATTCAAAATCTGTTTCTGAAACTTTATAAGCTGCTAAATTATTAAAACATTTCACCAAATCTTTTATTTTAAATGTGCGTTATGGATATTAGTTACCACGTAGCTCTTTAGCCTCCGTGATGCCTTTGTACTTTTTCAGCTTATGGGAAAAATGAATGGGAGAGGGAGGTCACTGCTGAACTCCACTGAATTCTGTCAGCTAGCCAAAGGAGTAATTGCATTTTTGTCCAGTTGACAGTATCAGTTTTCTTTTGCTAATATGGTCAAAATAATAATTGTCACTCAACACATTCACCCTCAGTCACTTTGAGTATTGTTACTTCACAACAGAAGTGGGACGAGTCATGACTTGGAATCAAGTCAGTCTTGAGTCACTATTTTAGGACTTGAGACCTGACTTGATGAAATGGACTAAGACTTGGGACTTGACTCGAACTTGAGGCCTGTGACTTGAGAAGAATGTTTAAATCTGAATTTTTTTTCTATTCTGCATGTAATGATTCACACTAAGATCTTGTCAATGTCATGTCCATTTAAAAAGGAAAAAATAACTAAATACATTTCTACAATTATTATACTCTATAAATACTCATATATAAATGTACTATGGTTTTTAAGTGCAATTTATCTTAAAATTCTTATAAATAGCAAAAATCCAAGCTATATTTGGTACTTCTATTTAAAGACTTAAAATGACTCAAAGCTCAAAGCAGAAGACTTGGCCTTGATTTGGACTTATGGGCCAGTGACTCGAGACTTGACTTGGACTTGCCTGTCTTTGACTTGGGGACTTGACTCAGACTTGAGGTTAAAGACTTTGGACTTACTTGAGACTTGCAAAACAATTATTTGGTCCCACCTTTGCTTTACAATAACTATTACTGGCATACAAGCACCGGTACAACTAAAACTACTATCAAGGTGCGTTAAGGTGTTAAACGGCCCATCTCATGCTAAATCAACTTTTCAGAGCTTTCTACCTTCTAAGAGAGATGTGTGGGCCTTATACATGTCACCAAATTGGTTTTTAGATTGACTCAGCATTTTTTTTAACAAACTGCAGTGCATTTCTGCCACCCTCCCACGTGACAACAAACTAAAGCCTGCTACAAGGATGACGCGGCCAGCTACACCTATGTTGGACATAGCAGAAAGCACTTTGCACCCGCCCCCGCTCCACCGCCTCCGCCCCGCCTCCACCTTGCATTGGCCAACAATTCCTACATGAACACCTAAACAAAAGCGACAGCATAAGCTAATTGTTATACACTGCAGTGTACATGATAATAAGTTTATCTAAAAGCGTTTATGAATACTTTACCAGTCAGTAATGTTCAGCTGATGCTGACGCAGTGCTTGCGCTTCGTGCACCTCAAAGTCCTCATCCATTTCCGGGTCCAACACATAAGGCGGAATGCGCTTTATCGCCATGATGAATAAAAGTTTATTCCTACCGCTATCAGACCGTTAAACGGGTTGTGTGGCTGCATGGCTGTACACTTATGCCATAGGGTGCACGCCTGTCTCCCCCTCCCTCCCTAAGATGGGGATGAGCAATAGTCGGCCTTTCATAGTTCCTTGTCTGTGACTGCCTCCAAGAATCAGTAAGATTTCATAACTATTGTGTCATGGATGTTCCAAAACCCAAATTGTGCTTGTATATGTGCATAAGATACAATGTGAAAATAGTTATTTTGCATGAGATGGCACCTTTAACATTCTCCCAATTATCTCAATAAAAACAATGAATAAAGTACATATGAATTATTAGCTACCTCTACCATCCTACCACTGCTTGTCTGATTGACACTTTTCAAAAAAGGTAAAAGGTGTTAACATAAAAACTCCAGTTCATTACATTGTAAGGTGGAAAAGAGCATTTTGAGCTTTGGAAATGCTACTAATAAAGGAACATAAAACATGTGTGAAACAAAACACTACTCCTGGTACGTTTTTGAGGAGGTAATAAGGTTCTAACATGGCTTAAAGCTCACAAGTGTCCATTTTAAGTAATATAGGATGTTTAAACACATCCAATTGTGTTTCCCCCGATAGTGTTTTTCTTATATAAATGCAACAACTGAAGGAAATACAAATTATTAACAACCTTTGCCAGCCTACCACTACCTGCTTTACTGCCATGCACTTTTCAGAGCAAAACAAAACCTGCATGTTATCGGGGAATGACTGTGAGAAAACGTGCTGTGGAGTGGGCTTTCTGGCTTTCCAAACCAAAACAAACGTGACAATTTTGGCCCTGGAGTCAAGCGAATGCGAAACAGTGATTAAAACAGAACTGAGAGGGGACAGTGGGGCTTTTCATGTGCACTGCAGGCTAGAAAGTGTACTGATAGCTGCTTCATGGACAGTCTCAAGGGAAGGGGAAAGGGAGAGGGAGTCAGGATATCAAGTGGCTACTGATAAAACACCAAAGGGAGGAGGTCTGGGCAAACACACACCCACACACGCATACATGTGAGATGCATCAAACATGGCGGCAGAAGTAGTAGCGCATGAGAGAGGATTGAGAGCAAGTCACAGATTATAGAGCCTAATGGGATTGGCACTGTACTGCTGTAACCACGGTAATCAAAGACACACTGGAGATGATAGCGCAGAATGGGACTGAGAACAAAAGATCCAACATGGTGGATCAGAGGTAGCAGAGACTGGACTGGTCACTACACACACACAAGGGGCTAACTGGGCAAATGTCAGGTATAGTTCAGATCTGATTTCTGTGAAAGCTATGTTACATCTACCACGGAGTCTCTTGAGTTATATTTGATGTGAGTAAATAAGGGGAGCTGTGTTTGAGAGTGGATCTGAAGGGCAGAAGTGACAGAGCAGAGATATGTCTTGTCAAAGATTAAAGATGATCACCAAATGCTGAGAACATATACTCCCTGTTATAAAAGTCTGAAAGCTTAAATATTTAAGTATATGGCAATGGTGGATGAAGTACTCTAAAAAAATGTTTTACTTTAGTAGTAGTAGCAGAAAAATACTGATTAAAAATTATAACAAATATTTGTAGCAACTAATCCATTTCTTAATTCTTTTTATGAACTTTGTGAATTTATTTTTGTTTGCTCAAAGCCGAAGCTTGAATTAAAAAAAAAAAAAAAAAGTGAGGATGTTACCAAAAAATAAATAGCTCCTAAAATCATTAGAAAGTACAGATTGCTGCTTTCCTAAACGTACAGTTAAGTACAGACAGATATCTAAAAGTTCTACTCAAATACAGTATTTTACTACTTGTACTTCGTTACCTTCAACCACTCGTGACACAACTGTTTATGATTTGATGGTGATCTTATTTTCTTAAAAAAACATTACTTTGGCAAAACTTGTTATTTTTTTTAAATCTGTTCTCTGGATGATATAATAAGACACTTTGGGGATTTAAGGGATATGTTAAGTTTGGACAGTTTTGATTAGGTTTTTAATTGCACAAGCAAAGAGAGCTCCACCTGAAAAATTACCTTGGCACAAGAGACTAAGAACTGCCTGTAAAGTTCTGATATAAAACTTCTAAAATGCTATGTTTTAGGGAATTGTTACTGACATTTTTCTCAAGAGTAGTAAAATAAATGAGGGTCAAAATTGTGCCTCAGGAAGATTGCAGTGGTGGAGGAAGTACCCAATTTTGTTACTTACTGCAAGTATAAGTTTAGATACTGGAGCAAAAAAATGCTCAAGTAAAAATATCACATGAAAGATTCTACTTAAAATACTACTACTTTAAAAAAATACCTGTTTAAAAATGTACTTAAAGAGTAAAAAGTATTTTGCACAGATTCTGAGGTCAAATTAAGCTTCAAATAAACTGCTTTTGATAGAGATTTGTGGAGAATTTTGTTCAACAGAAACAACTGAATCAATATATTTTTTGTTTTGTTTTGTTTTCCCTAGCGGATTTGCTTGTTTTTGTGAACATGTTAAAAATAACCCCCCTAGCCTTTTCAGCAGGTCTCAAACTAAAAAATACTATTACTTTTCAGTCAATGTAGTGGTATAAAAAAGTTTTAAGCAAAAAGTATCCGCTTTAACATCTACTTAAGTAAAGTACGGATACCTACATTTATTACTTAAGTACTTTATTACATTTACTTGTTACATTATGCGAAGACTGCCTCACCTACTAATACTAAGCAATCATCAACACTGCCACTCAGTGACAATTTTACCTCTTACCTGATTTGTATATAATACCCTATTGCAGTACTCTATATCACGTTCACCTGACACATATTTACAATGGACAGCAGGGCACTCAACATTCCAGTCACGCCTGCCTAATCATGCATAACATGTAAACACACTCTCCATTACTTTGCACTGAGCGTTCAGGTTAATGAGAAGTCATTGAACAAGAGCTGGTCCCACTCGTCAACTCCCCACACACTCAACAAGTGGGCACGGTAATGTGACTGAGACAGAGACAGGAAAACAGTTTGAGAAAAGACTAACCTTTACAGAAGCAAGAATGCAGCTCAATTTCTGTTGACGCATCCTCTGCATTTTGCTTCCAGAGGCTAAAAAGGGGAGTATGGCTGGGTGTTCTGCAAAGAGAGGGTCAAGAGAAAAGGACATGTGTGTATTGGGCAGTAAAGCAGCTTCAGCCCCTCCCCCACTATACAATTTGATCAATTTACCCCCTGCATGAGTTAAATAACAATCATTTTACGTCTTTTAAGTTGTGCAAAGGACTGAGATGCGAATTAGAGATGCATTCTTTAGATTAGGTCAAGTACTGCGTCTTACCTGGGCAGGCTGGGAAACGCCCACTCCACCAGCTTCTCTCTGTAAATTTAAGGCCTGTGGTGACTGAGAAGGCCCAGCAAAGATACAAACGTATGCAACAGAACAGTCTCAGAAACCTGAATAGTAGGCTAACACACACTTACTCTTTTATGTGAGACAGGCCTCTTCTGTGACGCTGTTTAAATCCAGGCTCAAAACATTTCTGTTTAACTGTGCATATAACTGAAAGGTTTTCATTCCGCACTCTTCTCTCCAATTTATGTCTCTCTTTTTTTATTTTAATCTTCATGATTATTTATGTTTTGATTTGTTTTTATTATGATTTTAATGTATTTCTTATTCTGTAAAGCACTTTGAATTACTTTGTGTACAAATTGTGCTATACAAATAAACTTGCCTTGCCTTGGTGTTACAAGTATCCATCTAATAATGTCTATGTAGTCCCTCAGTTGTACAGGTAAAATCCACAGTAGGATTGTTTTATTGAAGACATTTTGAAGCTCAACCAAGCTGCTTCTTCAGTTCTGGTCAAATAGCCGAAAAACACTGTCTTATATCTGCCTGAAGGGAGGAGCTAACTACACTGAAACTACTCTGAAACTAACCAGCAGTCTGACCAGAACTGAAAAAGCAGCTTGGATGAGCTGCGAAACATCTTCAGTCAAAAAAACAAACAAACTTTTGTCCAGCTGACAGAATAGATTTTTTCTTTTGTTATCTTATATAATAGATTACAAAGTTGCTGATCAAGCTTTATCAAGTTTGTATTTAAAACTGTGGTTAAAACTCCACAGTGTTTCTGCAGATGGCAAGTCACCTGCATGATTCCAAGTTAAAACCAGGACAGTAGGCAGGAGGGGGCAATGGGCTCTGCTGTCCCGGGCCCCCCAAATGATGACGGGTCCGGTTAAAACCATACTTCGGAACGTTTTCAATGGAGATGAGTTTTATGTTATGGAATTTTGAGTTTTATATAATCTGGAATATTATAGCAAAAAGTAATATTTCCATGGAAATCAGCAGGTAGCCTTTTTTTTTTTTTTTTATTACACAGTGGAGTTTTAAACATTACTGAATAGCATTTATGTTTTAGAATGGTGCAGTTGAATAAAGAGTTTTGTAATCATTATTCTAACCTAGGCTGACAGTTCCACACAAAGTTAGGGAGCAGGCAATAAAGGAACAGTCTATTAAATAATACAAATGTAACCAGAGGCCTGTCGCTGAAGGACTGAGCAGCTCTAAGTCATTTCATTATCTGTTGCAGCCACATTGAGAATGGGTTTAGAAAAGAGCAGGACAAGAGGATGTTAGCTTTGTGCGAGGAGAGGCCCCAGGCTCTGACCACCTGTTTACACGCTCTCCTCTGCTCTGTACAGTCTCGTCTGCACTCTCTGGAGGCTCCACACTCTCCTCTTGTTGTTTCACAGGAGAAGTTTGGATTGATCAGGTGAATCACTGCCTCTTTCACTGAAGGTTTCGATTTCTCCAAAGTATAACATGAACCTAAAAGACACCCAACTCAATGGAAAATTACACTGGCTTTGTTGACTTTGTTGGTAAAAAAGCAGCTGTTTGAGATAGAGCTGTTTATATTTCACTTTTTAGTGTATTGGCTATTGGCCTTAAATCTCAAGCAGAGGCCAATATTTAATTTGGGCCCACCAGATGCCTAAAGAATTCACATGAAGCTGTATTTGAACACTTAAGTGCAAAGTGTACACTACACAAAATATGACTACACAGCTCTTTATCCAATTTGTAAAGCAGGGTTGTGGATAGAGTTTGTAGTAAATTCTAATTATATATTTCCCTCGGGATCTCTAATTTGGGAAGGGGGAACAAAACCAGCTCTACTTACCCCAAAATGCCAGCAGAGTTTAACAGCCAATGGTTGTTCTGGACATACAATATTATGAACAATTTATGTGTTATGTATTGGCATTGGTCATGAAAAAGCCTATATGAGTCAGTCTCTAGTTTGTAAAAGAAATGATTTACCCTTGAATAAAAGTAAATCTGATTACTTTTATGGTGACATTTTGACTTTTGACGATTCTAAAGATACAATATTTAGTTTTGAATTACAAATTTCTAAGGCAGAGGTGCTAACTTTCCATAACTCTGAAAGGTAGAAGTTGAGGCCTTCAAGCTCTGATTTACTATTGAAACCTGAATCGTGTCAGTCCACCTCCCTGCCAGTACAATAGCACTGTTAAAAAACCTTGTGTACCAGCATGTGCCCGTCGATGCACATGTACAACATTCATGAGATTGTGTACACGCAGTTCTGTTCATACAGGTGTGAGGCGTGTCCGTGCTGTCTACGTACAGCCCCGTGACAGTGTTGTGTTTGCTGGGAGAGTTTGACTTAGCACTCACCCTCGTGGTTTTGATTTTGTTCCCAGAGGAGCACATCCATCCCGAGTTGTCAGGCAGAGTCTTGCACTCCTCTCCCTCCAGACACGGCTCCATCTCACACCACCATTTTCCAATTACAATGGACGCTAGGGACACAACAACGCAGGTCATCAGAGCAAGCAAGAGGAGGAAATACAGTGTTTAGTTATTCAAAAAGAGGTCACACAAGGTTGAACACAATGTAGTAGATTAAGACAGAAGAAAGTTAAAGGTTAGTTAAAGGTACAAAATGGTCCACAGTATGACATTAAACACACATATATGTATCAATGGAAACAACAAAGCAATGCCACCAGGCCATGTTACAAGCCAGATCTATGGAGACGTGACTCTCAATAAGAAAATGCATGTTTTTCAAGGAATTTTTGCCAAGTTAAACACCTGTAATTGGAAGAAATACAAGATAGATAATACAATAGCATGAAACTATTCAAGTAAATTATCACTTCATGGAAACCAACAGTGGCATACTTTTCACCAGAAAAGTTACATAGTGCACCTTTATTGTTTATTTGGTGTAGATTCAATTCCTTGATAAACTGTACAGGCAAAACACCGGATTAAATGTTGGTAAAGTGCCCTGCCCAGTGACACAATGGCTATGACTGATGGTTAGCTGTGGTGACTCTTAAAATACAGGAGAAAAAAACTTCAATCTTAAATTAAAGTTTAAATTAAAACTTCTGCCTATATGAAATAATAATGCAACCAAATTGTTACTTCAGGAGGATGTGTGCCAAACATAAAAGACCATTATCCAATTCTATCTTTTCTTGGCCACAGCTGTTGACCAAAGAACAGATGTTGAATGAATAACTCACAGTGACAGTAATGCCATTCACCATCTGAAATGAATCATTATTTTGTATTGTCAGGTCGACATGCATATGCGCAAGCGCAATTTCAGTTTTTAATCAAAACTAATTGAGTCTCATTAACATCCACTGTTTTTTTTGCAGCAGCAATCTGGCAAAATGTTCAGTAGCTCATGTCTAGAGTTCCTCTCTATAAATACAGGTATACGTTTTGCAAACAATTTGGACATTCAACTTCATCACTATTGCTTGATTTGAGGAACTTTTTTTGATCATTCATGGAAAAAAAGGTTTTTTGTTTTGTTTTATTAAATAAATAAAAAAATAAGTAAGTAAGTTTTCAGTACAAATTTCCTGAAAAAAGGCAAAAAATAAAACTAAATAAAACAGACTTTTTATCAGAGCCATTTAGCACAAAGGTTGCCATTTTTTTCCTCCCTAAGTTTACAGTAAACTCTGCACTAAACTATATACTTGTACTGACAGGCTCTCTGATTGATTGAATCTGTTAATCTGTTTCTGAACCCTTTGGAGCACAAACAAATGGCTGGACTCGTGAACGTGAGGCTCTGTAGTTTTGTCCTCTGCTGTTTGGTCTCCTCTAATTTTAATTTGGAACAAGCTCTACACAGAGAAAACTCAGATTTCAGATTCTGCCTAAATGGATGTAAATATAAAAATAAGTATAGCTGGTGTCCCTGGGGATGGCCTGAGAGACAGTGGATTGAGCATATGTTGGGTCTTGACAGTTCCAGTGTCTTGGAAGTCCACGAAAATTCCTATAAATTCCTATTATATTTTATTTTATTTTTTTGTGGGTTTGGAGTACAAACTGGTCAAAATTCTCCTCATTATTGTTGATTTCACAATGGTAGATTTCCATTAAGGTTTCACATGTCATTGAGTGTTCTTGTATAAGAAGCTGGGCAAACAGTAATTCATTTAACCCTTGTAAGGTCTTCGGGTCTGTAGGACCCGTTTTCAGTTTTTAACTTCAGAAAAATTATACAAAGAATAATTTTTTCAGCCTGAGATTATTTGGCCTTGGCTCATTTTGAGTGAGGAACATGAATCAGAAAAAAAATTAATTGACCCCCCCTTGCTTCCACCCCCTTCACACTTATATTACATACAGGGTCTTCGGGTCCACTGGACCCGGAGCTACTGAAAGTATGAAAATCATAGTTCCTCATTTCCCCTTTCTCCTCTTTGGGTCTGTGTGTGTTGTGTGTTGTGTATGTGTTGTGTATGTGTTGTGTGTGTTGGTGTTTCACCAGGTGTAAAAAGTACATCTGCAATAGATACAGTGAAACTGTCATGAAAATGTCTGTGTTCAGTGGAACTAATGTGTTGTTCAGAGAAATGTTGTGTAAACTCACCTGTGTAAGTTAAATTTCTGCTGAAACTCAAATGAATAGTTCACTATAGTGTTGTGAGAACCTTTTTCATTTGTACATTGTTTGATTATTATCCAGTCATGACTGTTATATGATGCATTTCTTGATTTTATTCTATTTTAATAACCCTAACCTTTACAAAAAGGAGGGCCTTTTTATTCATAAATGTAATTTAACAAAGGTAAAGGGAGCAAATTTAACAATAATTTGTTAATACTACTTCCAAATGAGATGAATTAAGCATCTGCTGAGAATTTTAACAAAAAGGTTTAAATATGATGATGTAAAAGCCCCAAAGTGCAATGGGTCCACCAGACCCAGCAGGACTCCCTGTGTAACAAAAAAACGAAGACCTTACAAGGGTTAAATCGAAAAGTACAAGGGCCCTTATCAGCCCCCTTGGAACAGATTTTAATAATGATATCTAAATAAGGGTGCCCATCTTCTCAAAAACTCGATTTGTATAGCACATTTATACACAAAGTAATTCAAAGTGCTTTAAAGAATAAGAAAGACATTAAAATCACTATACAAACAAAAATGAATCATCACCACAAAACACATAAAAGCCTTTCAGTCATACTGGATACACAGCCCAACAGAACTGTTTTGAGCCTGAATTGAAACATAGTGAAAGTAGAGGCTGTTCCAGGATTTAGAGGCATAAAACCGAAACTCGTGTATTGTTCCTTAAGTATGCAACAATTTTCTGTAATTTTCTTCATATTAATAGACTAGGGAGAGAACAGTGAGAGAAATTTACACAAACTTTCAGAGCACAAACTTGAACCTAAAACACAAGCAAGCTGTAGCATCCACGTGCCTTTTGTTTAGTTCAGTAGACACGGGCAATTCCAGGACTGAAATTATCTAGTGAAGGTGTATGGAGTTTAAAAAACACAGTGGAGCCTTTACCAATAGGCCATTTTATAAGCACATCAACTACACTGCAGAAAGCAAGATGTCAAGATGTTAAAATTTCTTTACATAAATTATTTTACTTTTTTGTGCAGATTCAAGTTAACAAGCAAAATGTTCTACCAGTGAAATAAGTGTTTTCTTTTCAAGCAAATTCAAGCAACATTAGATTGTATTTCTTACTTTAAGAACAAAGAGTTGTTGTTTTTCTTATCTTAAGTGTAGCACGCTGTATTTTCATAATTTATGAATGAAAAGTTGTGTCAAGTGAAATGTATTCAAACCATGATTAAACTTTCTTAATTCAAGTAATCTTAATTTAGATAGATTTCAGTTTTTTGCAGTGTTCCTATTTGATTCTGTCAGCATTTTTATTTTTTTCAACCTAACTTTTGTATATATGTATTCTAAATGTCACACGCTACAAGTGTTTAACTAAAATGGCAGAGCTGTAAATCAAACAAATACATATTCTGTTACATTTATTAACCCTGGCATTTAAAAGACATTTCATTCTTTACAGTCTTCTATTCTTCTATTCAGGTGATAAGACACCTCTTTCCCCAGCTGAATTTTCAGCGCAAGCAGTGCATTTTTTTTCTTCTTTCAAATCTCTAAAGAGTGTCTTTCCTTTTATCTTGAGAAGGTCAAATCACTGGGTGCAAGCTTTGTGTTAGAAGTTGTTTTATGGCACTTTCTCAAACTCAGGTGTGGTTTTTCGCCCCTTAGAATACGTGTTGCTAGGTTACAGGCCAGCTAAGTCGATTTGAGCCAAAATGGCGTCATCTCACAGTGACGTATGGTGGACCGAACTGACAAGAGCGCATGTACAGAAGGAAGGCTACAGTTTCCTGACATTTGTGTTATTTTTCGCTTTCGCCTCCATAAGCCCCGAGGACAAGGGAGAAAGTATGAGATCCAACCAGCTGTGGAGCCGCCCTTTGGCTCTCCCTGTGGCTGTTTACCATATTGACTAATTACGCACTCTAGCAATCTTCAATATGCCGTGCACTCATTACAATTAATATGTTAGAAATATTTCAGCTTCCCTTTTCATTTTCTGGTAAATCAGAGTTGGATCAAAAAAGGGAAGTGTTGGCATTCTGTGAGTGTGTATTAAAGGGCTCGTATGACGCTATTTTCTGATCTATGTTATAATGCATCCTCATCACAAACAAACCTGGGGTTGTGTTTTACTTGACATTTGACACATTGACATTTCACATATGTTTTAACACACAAAGACTGCATTTTTAGGTGGAGTTCTTCTCTCAAACACAAAAGACTCTGTAGTGCCCCACTGTGTTTTTAAACTCCATACACCTTCACTAGAATCATTTGGATAATTTCAGCCCTGGAATTGCCAATCTCTACTTAACTAAACATAAAATGTAGCCTTTAACCTGAAAACTACTGCATTATGGCATCACAAGGTGGGACAGAGCATTTTGAGCTTTGGACATGTAACAGACTAATAATCAGAGGTGAGGACTTGAAAGTCGTGATTTGGACTCGAGTCAGACTTGAGTCACTATTTTAAGGACTTGAGACTTGATGATAAAATAGACTTGGGACTTGACTCGGACTTGAACCCTATGACTTGAGAAGACTTGATGCTTGTCCTAAGAATATATACATTTTTAAACTGCTTTTCTCTTTTCAGTTGATAAATGTGGTGCTTAATTTTACAGGAACAAACTGGAACATGTCTCCCCCATTTCTCTATTTCTTACTTTGAAGCAAGACTGAAGTACTGTGATGTGGCATCCTCAAATGTGCTACAGTAAAATACAGTACAATACAACAAAACAGAGAGAACTTCATAGAACATGATCCGATTAATTTCAAGTATAATTTAGTATAAAAATCATATTAATTGCAAAAATCTATGCTATATTTGGTATTTTGGTTTAAAGGTTTGAAATGAAATGACTTGAAGCTCAAAGCAGACGACTT